GGGAACAATTCAGCAAGATCGAGTGCCACGCAGGGGCTCCTCATTCATTCATGAGAGCCCGAAAGTTCTAAGCCTCTCTGGTACTTGAATAAGCCCCGCCTTATAAAACTCGACAAGGGCGCACAACATGCCTGTGCCTTGGCTAGACAGGCCAGATACGTCTTCACTTCCATCGAACCGCGGGTGACGGATAAGATAACCTCCCCGTCGCAGAGCTGATTTCCGACCGGCACATCGTTCGCAAGCCTATCTACATTGCCGCGGGTGTTGACGTCAACAGAAATGGGACAAGCGGGCAGCGCGAGGCAGAGCGAGGCCGGGAACTCTTTCTCCTCCGTCTTGGTCGGGTCCAGAAAGACCCCTCCTTCCCTGGAGACGGCGCATCCGACGGCGACAACCATCCCTCTCAAGGAGATCGCCGCGTCGACAAGGGCAGCGCAGACGGCGTTCACCGCACACGCCAGAAGAGCTCCATCGTCATGGATCACCTGCACGATGACGGAGATACCGGCTCGCGGGTAGGCCTCGCTGATCACGACAGTCTCCACAAAGCGCCGGATGGCGGCCTGAGCTTCTGTGTCTGAGCTCGAGAGCTGCCCACCGATCTTCGCTTTCCATATCACGTCAATCATCGCCTGCTCAGCATTCTCCTTCCATTGACTAATTGCTCTAGGACCGTAGACTGCAGCAAGCACACTGGTATGCTGTTGAGACCACCTGGCTGACCCATCAGCTTGGTGCAGCAGCCCTCGGATACAACCCGGGGGTCTCAGTTCGTTCGCCGTTCTACCATCATGCCTTGCAACATTACTGGCTTGCATCTCCTCCCCTTCGGCGCAAAGAAAATTAAAAATCCTAATAGTAATAACAAGTTTCCCTGCAACAGACAGAAGAGAAAGAAAGAAAGAAAAAAATAAAGAAAAAGAGGGAGAAAAAGGTGGGAGAATAAGACCTGTCTCTTATACACATCTAGATGTGTATAAGAGACAGGGCACACGTGGGGTGGGGAAAGAAGCCCCTTTTGAGCTGCCCCTCCCAAAAAAACGAGGGGGCAGGAAAAGAAAGAAAAAAATAAAGAAAGAAAAAAAAAAAGTACAAAGAGAGAAATACAATAGAAATAGAGATGTATAGTCCTATAGCTGTCTCTTATACACATCTAGATGTGTATAAGAGACAGCATTCAGGCCTTGACATAGCTCAATGCTGCTAGT